GACAAGCCGCGTCTCTGCCGCTGCCGCCGCCCCCGGTAAAACGGTTAATTTCTGTTTGGGTGCCAACCAACTATTTGCATTTGCTCAAGTCTAATTGCAAATATGTTTTAGCAAAGGATGCGGGCAGTAGGTCAACAGAAGTATACGGGCAAAGTAGGCCTATGAGTCAAGTCACTCAACACACTTACTCAACACAGTTATTCAACACACTCACTCACACACGCACGCTAGCTTACTCACTCACTACCTCACGTTCTCACTTCGTTTGCCGCTCTCATCCTCTCAATAACTTACGCACAGCATATGCGGCTCTCCCACTCTGCCCGAGCAGCCATATTTACTCTTTGTACTTGCAAAAGAAATTGTACTAATGGAATTATTTCATGTTTTCCTTTTCCTTTTGCTTTTCTTACCATATTGCGCTGCGCCACGTCGCATTTCGTTTTGTTTTGTTTGTCGTTTTGATTTGCTTTCGTTTTGGTTTGTTTTTGGTTTTCGTTTTTTTTTTTTTTTTATTACTTTTTTTTTTCTTTTTTACTATTTTGCCTCCTTTTCTTACGAGCGCGCTGTGCAAATAACTCATCGTTCGACGTTCGAGGTTCGACCCGTCGTCGGTGTTTCATCTTGCGTTGCGCTCTCGCTCGCTCTCACACGCTCCCGTTCTCTAAGCGACTATGTCGACTGCGAAATCAAAGCAAAGCAAAGCGTAGCATACAATATAAGCGTCGCTGTTGACGTTGCGGTCGGCGCAGCAGCCGCTAAAACGAGCAAAAAATAAAAAAAAAAATTATAAAAAAAAGAAAACGGAAAACTTTTTTGTTTTCCTTTGGGGCGTTTCAAATAATTTTTGACTGATTGAATTATTAATAAAATTGATCGAAATGCAAAGAGAGGCGACGTCGCTGCAGCCGCCGCTGGTCAACAGAAATAATGTTGATTGAATTAAGTACTTTAAAGCTTATGGGCCGAGCTAAAAGAGTGAGAGGGCAAATAAGTTGTAGTTGTTGTTGTCGATGTTGAGTGACAGTATTTGATGTCGCTGCTATGAAAGCTTCTTACGATTGACCACTTACCGAAAGAGAAACGTACACGCACACACACACTTACACATACATATGTAAGAATATATTCATGCGTGTCAGAATGTGGCAGCATTTAATTAACACAAATTTCCATCAATATATATCAATTACAGTTGACTTAATTTTTAGGTAATTGATGCAACAACAATAAAAGGCTGGCTAATTGCATATCTGGCTTTTTCCCCACTCTCTCTCTCTCTCTCTCTCTCTCTCTCTCTCTCTCTCTCTCTCTCTGCCTCGCTTGTGTGTGTGTGTGTGTGTGTGTTCATTGAGTGACATGTAAATGTATTATTTTTTTGTTCTGCTTGTGGCCAGGCGACATATGCGTCGATAACGTTATTGTTATCGCTAGACGTTTGTACACTTCACTTCATTTGGTCGCACAGCTAATCAATCATGTTAATTAACTGAACGCATTTTAGTGCTAACTGACAAATGTGAGTATATGTATGGTGTCTTCTTCTTCTGGCCTGCATATCCACAGCTTAACATTTGTCGGGCTGTCACAAAATGCACATTAAGCAAGAAAACAATTTTGCTGATATTCGCGTCAGTTTTATTTATTTTCATAATTTTTTTTCCACAATTTGCTGATACCCAAAAAAAGAAAAAAAAAATGAAAAAAATGCGCCTGAACTGTTGACCGCGGCTGTGCGCTTTTTTTTTTGTCGTTGGGTGCACACCGGAAGGAAGTGGATGAGGGGGAAGGAGTGCGTGTGGGGATGGCCGTGGGCAGGGAAGTTGGAGTGAAGCAAAGTGAATTAAATATTTACATAAATTTTTAAAAATCAAATATTAAATAATAAAAATCAAGACAAAAACGAGGCGCAGAATGACGCACGGTACATGCCACGCCCCCAGACGGCAGATGGCAGATAGCAGCTGCCAGGAGGCGGCCAGCCTCAGTGGGTGGCATGCGACCAATTGGCTTTTTATTAATTAATTTATTTGAGCTGCTGCTACAGCTGCTGTTGCTGTTATTGCTGTTGCATTGCAATTTCAGTTGCATTTTCATTCATTTACTTGGCTTTATTTTTTCGTGATTATTTAATTGTTTTTGCTGTTATTAATATTAAATATTTATTTTGCAATTCTATTTAATTTGCAATTTATAATTGCATTTTGATTGAGCGCCACGCCTCACGCCACGCCATCCCTCGCCATGCCTCGCCACGCCTCGCCAACACATTGTGGCTCTCCATCAATTTAATTGGCCTTTTCGCTGCTGCCGCGCAAAAAACTAGGCAACACTTTATTTCATTGCCTACTTTTTAGCGCGGCGGCTGCATCAATTCACAGTTATTCGATAATTGATCAACGACAAATCGATTTAAGTGCCTTTTTATGCCCTGAACTCCAAATGGGAAATGGTAATCGGGGTACAATGGTTATGTGAAAACGCAGGAGCACGATTATAAAAAATATATGAAATATACGTAAATAAATATCATTCCTTGCCGAATATTCGAATATTCGCAGAGCTTAGGGTATCTCCTATTCGAGCAGTCGCGACTGCTGCACTCTGACTTGTTTACCGTTCGACTGTTGCAGCAGTTGAGTTGGGCCTTGAAATGCATTTATTTACAATTGGCAAAAGTTTTGCTAGCTGCAAACATATTGCAGCAGTGTTGCCACTGTGTGGCTCATGCCAGCAGTCTGGCAGCATTGGATAATGTCAGCATACTTTCTATGAATTGAGGAACCTCTGATACGAGCAATGGTTTTTTTTCTTAGCTCCCTATGATTCTATTACTAGAACTCATCGAAATGTTCTTCTGTGAACCAGTTCATAACGGTTCACATTCAGTTTTATTCCAACGTAGAGCCAATTCATTAAAGCACAAATTCACATGGATAAGAGACAGCTGGACAGAGCAGCCACCGACTGACCCAGCCCCAGCCCCAGCTCCAACCCCAGCAGCCCACCCACAGCGCAAGCTCCACTTTGTTGCCCCGTGACAATCAAAATTAAAATGAGTGGTTTATTAAAATTTAAACGCTTCACTTTGCGCCCGCAAAAAGCATATATATATATATATTTTTTTTTTTAACTTGGTCCGAAATGAAAATGAAGGACAATGCAGATGAGTGGGGCGTGGAAGGGAAGGAGTGCGAGAAGTCTGGACAAGGACGAACTGAAGAATGCAGAGGAGAATGAGAATGAGAATGAAGAAAATGGAGAGGCAGAGGCAGGGGCAGAGCCAGAGGACGCGAATGAGGCCGACGTAGTCGTCGTCATTGTTGGCTTTGGCTTTGGCTTTGGCTACTTTGATGTATTTTCATATTCCACAGAGACGAGCCGAACGCACGTTGGCTGCCAAATGAGGGCGCGGCAAGGTGTGGGGGGTATGGGTGTATGAGGGGGTGTGGAGTGTGGGTAACAGGAAGCGTACTGTTGCAACGTACTGGGTGGCTCTGGGTGGTTAAAAGCATATGATAGCCAAGCTGTTATTTGGTCAGCGAATGTTGACGTCGACGTCGACGTCGACGCCGAAGCCGACGTCGACTTCGGCGAGAGCCTTAACGTTTGTCTCTGACATTTGAACGTTGATTGATTTTGCTTGCTGGCAGCTACTTAAGTTCCCTTACCACGCCCACCCCACCCCACCCCACTCCACACACACATACACACACTGATAGACTCAACCCCTTCAGTCGCTGTAGCTCAATGTTTTATTTGCCTTTATTTTAATTACATTGATTTTGATTAAACGCGCGCGCGGCACATTGTTTGCCCTCTCGCTCGCTCACTCTCCCTCTCTCTCTGTCTCTCTCTCTACCTCTCTGTCTCTATTTGCACATCATTAAAATTGTAAAAATATTAAATGGAAAAACAAAAAACTAAGACAAACACGAATGCAGCACAAATTCAGACATGGCCAGCGTTTCAAGGGATTCTTTTTCGTATTTTTTATCATTGGTGATTTTTCCGGGTAGCGAATAGAATTTCGTATGCTCTTTGAGGATGGAGCGCATCGAAAGGGTGTCAAGTATTCGAATATAGAATCGAATACAACCCATTATAATCGATAACGGTAGCTAACAATCAAAGTATATCGATAGTTATTAAAATATATTATGATAAATTAGTAAAGTGTATCGATCATTTAATAACAATCCATCGATTGTAGTCTATTAGCTGCTAATAATATAAAGCAATATAATTTCAAAATCGATAGTACTTTGATATTACCATGTTATCGATATTTATTGTTGTTTAAACATTTAATAAAAACTATTAGCAGTAGCAAATTACAATTGATCGATACATATCGATTGACTATTTGATATTACTAATCGATTGGCCTGTTTTATAATGACAACATTATCATTGAAAATATATTCGAAAACATTTGCTGACAAACCATAGCATGTGAAATTACCAATCGATAACAGTTGAGCAAGCTTAACACTTGCTGAAAATTAGCGATAGCTACTCCACCTTGTGCGTATCGATCACATTCGATAAATATCGATAGCAATTGAACGTCACGCATAAATTGAAGGCGCTGCAGCATTTTCCTACCTCAACTAGCCGCTCTCTGCGCTTCTCACTTATCACACAACTCGCCCATACACCCACCTACTGCCACGCCCACACCGAGGCTCTGTGCAGGCAAACAGGGCGAAGAGCTTTAAAATATTCAATTGGCTGATGCTGCCCGCCGCTTTTGCTGCTCATTATTTGTTAAGTGGCTTAATGAAGGCGTCCTTCGTCCTTCGCCCTGCGTCCTTCGTCCTTCCTCGGCGCTGGAGCAGTCGGCCAGCCCGCCTAGCGGTAAATTGTTTACCATTCGCCCAGTTCTTCCCATTTCCAGTTTGACTTTAATTAAATCGCTTTTTATTATAAAAATGTGTTTGCTTAACTTTTACTCATAGCCATCTCCTCTCCCTCTCCCTCTCTCGCTCTCTCTTTAGATAAACTGGCAAGCTGTTTTGTTTGCAAGACGGAGGCCTGCCTGCGCACTCGCCCATTGAAGAAGGGGCGTGGCCAGCAATATGCAATCCCAGACGAGACGATACCAGCGGGCGCACGCGTCTGCAACAGCTGCCAATGCAAATCGGTGCGCAATCGCTATCCCAACTGTCCGCTGCCCACGTGCCCCAATCCCAAGGATCGGGCGCAGCGCCTGCGGAACATACCCACACGGCTGTTCGAGCTGGCGCCGGAGCTGCGGGATCCGCTGATGGCCGAGTTCCAGATCAAGCTGCATGCCACACGCTGCTGTTCCGCCTGCCTGATGCGCATACGGCGCAAGCTCGATCCGCTCCTGAATCTCACCGATGAGGAGCGACGTCGCGGCGGCGTTGGCAGCGGCGATGCCAGCGCTGGCGATGAGACCGATGTGAGCACTTCGTCCTGTGATGAGCGCGAGCCAGGCGGCTCGGACACCGCCTCCGTGGAGAGTCCCGAGTATCTGCAGCGGCACAAGTCGCAGCTGAACAAGCAGCAGCAGCAGCAGCAACAACAACAGCAACAGCAACAACAGCAGCAGCAACAGCAGCAACAACAACAGCAACAACAGCAGCAGCAGCAGCAACAGCAGCAGCAGTTGCCACCGCAACAGCAGCAGCTGCCACAGCCGCCGCCAGTACCACAAAAGCCGCAACAGCAACAGCAACAACAACAACCAGCAGGAGCTGCCAATGTGCGCAGCGTGGCAGACGCATCCGGCGCCGCTTTAACCATTACGCCCACTCGCATGTCCGCCAAGGCAGCCGCAGCAGCAGCAGCTGTTGGTGGCAACGACAGCGAACGCCTGCTGCCGCCAGCATGCCAAGCACCGAAGAAGCAGAAGACCAGCGAGGAGTACGACTCCTCGGCGACAGAGACGGCGGACGAGGAGAATGAGAATTCGCCAGCGAATCGACAGAGCCCCAAAGTGATCTTCAATGCGGTCTCGCATGCGCATGCCCATCCAGCCCATGGGCATGGCCATGGGCACGGCAATAACAATGTGGCCGGGCTGCAGCCGCCGAATGCCGCATCAGCAGCAGCTGTTGCTCTCACTGCACAGCAACAACAGCAGCAGCAGCAGCAGCAGCCGAATGGACCGATGAGCCAGCGTCGTGAGCCAGTCAATGTGCAGGATTGTGTGTTCTCTGTAATTGAGCGACAGCTGAAGCAGCAGGCCAAGGGGCCGCAGCTGCCAGGCAACAATCAGGGCAAGCAAGTCAGCCAGCAGCAGCAGCAGCAGCAGCAGCAGCAGCAGCAACAGCAACAGCAGCAGCAGCAGCAGGCGCACAATAATTTGGATCGCAAGGAACTGACAATAGTGCGTGAATATCGACAAGATGGCAATGCCTTGCTTAAGCAACAGCAACAACAGCAGCAGCAACAATTGCAGCAGCAGCAGCAGCAGCAGCAACAGCCAGCGGGCTTGCCGCATGGCACCTCTGTGCAAAAGTTGAGCTCGCGTCCTGGGCCGCCCTCGAACTCGGTGAACAGCAGTGGCAGCAGTAGCGGCAACAGCAGCAGCAACAACAATGCCAGCAGCAACAACAGCAACAGCAACAACAGCAGCAACAGTTGTCGAGCGGCGTGGACAAGGCCACGATTACGCCGGTGTTGAAGAAGAGCGCCATTACGCCGACGCCCCCAGACACGATAATCTACAATGTGTCTGGCAGCCACTTGGCCGCCCAGCACCAGCAGCAGCCGCCGGCGCAGTCAGCACCACCGCCCACGCATACGGTGCACGCGCCACCGGTGCAGCAGCGCTTGCCGCCGGAGCCGGAGCCGCAGACGCTGGACCTGAGCATCAAGAAGACGCCGCGCGAGGGCCACTCGCCGCACACGCATCCGCATGCGCACAGCTCGGTGGCGAGCACTGTGGAGCGGCACCATGGCCCGCCGCCGCCAAGCATGGGCGGTGCGATGAAGCATATTGTGCGCACCTCGTCCATGTACCGGGGCGATGCCTCGATGCCCAGTTTGTCGGTGTCGGGTGCTCCGCCGCCCGCCTCCAGCTATTTGACCTACCAGCAGCTGCACGGCGTGGGCGTGGGTGTGGGCGTGGTGAAGACAGCGCCTGGACCGGCACAGCCGGGCTCGCTGTATGTCCAACCCGTACCTGTACCCATTGGCCAAGGCCAGATGACGCGCCCAACGCCGCCGCCGCCCGCCCAGCCGCAGCCACCGCCGACGCGCGTCTCCAAGCTGCCGCCCAAGCTCAGTCCGCAGCAGCAGCAGCAGCACTTGCACAGCCAGATGCCATCGCCGCAGCAACAGCAGCAGCAGCAGCAGCAGTCGAGTGCCCAACAACAGCAGCAGCAGCAGCAACAGTTGCAGCTAGTCAAAGGCGGCTCCATAACCCACGGCACGCCCGCCAACACCTCGCAGCAGCAGCAACAGCAACAACAGCAGCAGCAGCAACAGCAGCAAATCATTGTCCATGCCGCGCCCTCGTCGCTGCCCAGTCCCAAGTACGAGAGCCTGGTGCGTCAGACGCCGCCTGGCAGCTGCCCGGATACGGGCAAGCATGGCTCGATTACGCAGGGCACGCCGCTCCATCTGCCGCCCCACCACTTGGACAGCAAGCGGGCGTACGACTTCTACAAGAACTCGCAGCGCTTGAGTCCCGCCCAGGCGCCGCCGCCGCCGCAGCAGTCGTCGCCGCAGGCGCCGCCGCCTCAAGGTTACGGCGTGGGCGTTACCGTCGGATCGCCCTACTCGCGCTCGCCGTACAGCGCGGTCGAGCAGGCCTCGGCGCTCAGCTCGAGGCAGATCGTGATCAACGACTACCACACGTCGCAGCAGATGCAGGGCCAGCAGCAGCGCAATGTCTCCCGCGGCAGCAGCAGCGCCGGCGGTGGCGCCGGCTCCGGCTCCGACAAGGAGTCGCCATCGCCACGCAACAGCATCAGCGGCAGCTCAGCTGTCTATCCGGGCTATGAAAAGGAGCCGCAGCCTCGCGGACGACCCGAATATTCCAGTCGCGCCTCACCGGCCGATCATTCCAATAGGTGAGTGCATATCTAGTGATTGACGGACTCACTGACTGATTGACTGACTGACATATTTGATAAATGATTGAGTTGAAAGTTATCTGAGGCATTGACCGCTTCATTGAGAGTAAATTGATTATCTAATAGTGTGAACTGTTGATTGATTGATTGACTGACAGACTTATTGATCTAATGACTGATGATTGACATCTTCGATAATTGATTGATTGGCTCACTGACGTTGTCTGATGTGGACTGACTGACCTCTTGCTTGAACGCTCAAGCAMTTATTTATTTAGATTGATTGATTAGTGAACGATTGACTGTGACTGACCGACTGGCTAACTGAACGTTAGATAGTTCCTCAGTGAATACTCGATACTAAATTCTGTCTCTCTCTCTCTCTTTCTCTTTCTCTGCCTGCAGCACACCCAGTCCGCACCGCACTCCGCCGCCCCAGCGCCAGGGCGTCATTCAGCGCCACAACACCGGCTCGAAGCCGCCTTCGCCTGCTGCGCCGCCCCCGAGTCGCATGCACATTGTCACGCCCTACAATTTTCCACCAGGTAAGTGATTGATCAACGTGAATCGCTCTTACTGAATACCATTTTAATCCTGCATCGTCTCCATCTCTCTCTCTCTCTCTCTCTCTCTCTCTTTTTCTGAACAGCTGGCCACGATGCCTTGGCCTCGTTTGTGGACGTGGCCGTACAGCAGCCGCAGCTGCCGGTGCCGTCGCAGAAGGATGACAAATTGGCAGTGCCGCAACCGGCGCCACAGCCACAGCCGCCGCCATCGACGCACGGCCAGATAATAACGCATGCGCAGGTGGCTTCCGGCCAGGCGGTGCCGCCAGCTGCACACCATGATCTGCGCTACCGCACCGACTCGCTGGCGAGCTATCATATGGCAGCCGCGGTGCAGCAGCAGCTGGTCCAGCAGCAGTACAGGCTGAACTCGGCCGCCGCCTACGAGATGCAGCGCCGCATGGAGCAGGTGAAGCGAGACCAGCGCCAGATCAATCACATTGAGCGGGAGCGCGAGATACAACGGCAGCGCGACCAAGAGCGTCAGCGACGCGAGCAGGAGCGCCGCGAACAGGAGCGTGCTGCCGAGGAGCGAGAGCGGGACAGCCGGCGCATGGAGCGCATGCTGGCCGCTGCCGTTGCGCCACCGCCAGGCCATCCGCATGGCCACGCCCACAGTAGTCACAGCCACTACATACGTGGCACGGTGCCCGAGACCGGGCCACCGCGCACCATACCTGATCGAGAGCGAGATGCGTAAGTAGATCATATCTAGCAATTAATCTGTGAACTACTTATAATCAATCAGGGAAACCATATCAATCAATCAGAGAATCAAGCCATATCAATCAATCCGTGAATTGCCTTCAATCAATCAGAGAATCAAGCCATATCAATCAATCAGTGAATTTCCTTCAATCAATCAGAGAATCAAGCCATATTAATCAATCCGTGAATCCTTCAATCAATCAGAGAATCAAGTCATATCAATTATCTGGGAATTGACTTCAATCAATCTAAGAATATCAATCAATCTGGGAATTGCCTTCAATCAAATAGAGAATCCGATCATATCAATCAATCTGTGAATTGCTTACAATCAATCCGGGATTCAGATCTTGTCAATCAATATGGGAATTACCTTCAATCAATCCTTGAATTGCTTTAAATCACTCAAATGTGTTCAATGCAATCGATCACATCGATCGCATCGCATTACATCACTCAATCAACCAATCAATTGTGTCAATAAAATATCTAACATGCATATGCTGATTGATTTCAAAGCTGATATAAATCAAACAATCAAATTTATTATGTGAAACACCGTACATATCATTGAAATTCAAGTCAAGACCAGTTGCGAATTGTAATCAATCATTTAATTACAAATTGCGATCGATCAAAAATAAAAATAATGAGATTTACAAATTTGAAGAATTCCATCCAAAACAAGATCAAGTAGCTGTAGTATCATTACCAATCAGCATCAATCAGCGTCAATCAATTGCTTAATCAATCAGCTGTGCACGCTAGCTAATTACTTTACAATCAACAAATTTCAATCGATCAATCACTGACTTAATCTTTCCATGTTGCAGCTACTACCGACAGGCACACGGCAGTAAGCCGCCGGAAGATGCCGGGCAGTTTAGCGCCCAGGCCCTGATTGATGCCATCATCAAGCACGAGATCAATCGCACTGGCGAGCTCAGCAGCCTGCCCCGCGACATTCCGCGTCCCACCTACGTGAGTAGACCCTTTTGAGATCCTCGACTCGAGAGTAGGCGGGGATACCCCTACTGACTGACTGAACACCCTCTCTCACACTCGCTTCCTTTGCAGTATCAGCGCGACTTGCGGCCGTCACACGAGGGCGCTGCCGTCTCGCTCATGGCCGCCGAGAACAATGGCAAGGCGAACTCCAGTTCGCCCAATGTCAACAGCATCGATCTGGAGCAGGAGCAACGTCCATCACAACAGCAGCAGCAGCAGCAGCAACAACAGCAGCAACAACAGCAGCAACAGCAACAGCAGCAGCAACAGCAGCAACAGCAGCAGCATCAGCAGCAGCAACAGCAGCAGCAATCGCAGTCCAGCTCGGAGCGCTCTGTGCACGGTTCGCTGCGTGGCCAGGGGGCGCCGCCCTCGCATCATGGCACGCCCATTTCGCAGGCGGGCAGCGGTCCGACGGCACAGCAGCAGATCTACACGAAGAAAATCACGTTCGGCGAGCTGACTGACTCGATAATTACGAACGATTACGGGCCGACTCCGCACATGCGCACCTTCCTGCCCTATCTGCCGGAGACGCAGGCCATCGTGACGCCCGATCGCTGGAAGCAGAATCGCCGGCAGCAGCAGAAAGCCGAGGAGGCAGCCGCTGCGGCAGCGGCCGCCGAGCGGGCCAAGCAGTCGCCGATCAATGTCGTTGGCGGCGGCGTTGGCAGCGTGCGCAGCGTTGGCGGCAGCAGCAGCGACGGCGGCAGCAGCAGCAGCAGCGGCATCGGCAGCAACAGCAGCACCAGCAGCGGCGGTCGCGCCAATACGCCTGGCGAGGATGCGCGCAACATCATTCGCATGCCCCAGGCGATCAGTCCGCGCAAGTACGCCCACGACCTGATCATGCAGCAGGCCGCCGTTGCTGTTGGCGCCGATCCGGCGCACTACTTCCTCTCTGCACCGCCCGGCGCTGTGGTTGGGCGCAGCAGTGGAGGCGGTGGTGTTGTTGTCCCGCCACCTCCAACGAGTGGCGGTGGCGGCGGCGGCGGCGGCGGCGAGCCACGCAGCATTAGCGAACCGCGCGGCGGCAGCGAACAGCGCAGCAGTAGCGGCGGCGGAGGCAGCGGCTCGGGCGCCAACTTCGACAACTATGTGAAGAATCGCATTGTGGAGGCAATGCGTGATGATTCCGGCTACGTCCAGGTGCCGCACATGACACACGCCCATGCCGTCGCCGTGGCGGCCCACAATGAACAGCAGCAGCAGCAGCAACAGCAGCAGCAACAGCAGCATAGGAGTAAGGAGCCAGAGATCAGCGTTTCAAGGAAGACACCCAACCAGTACGAGGTGGTGGACAGCGGCAGGCGCTCGGCAAGCAGCTCGAGCGGCGGCTCGAACAGCCATCATGCGTCCGCCTATCATGCGGCACCGCCGCCGCCGCCGTCGGCGGTGAATGCGTTTGCGGCGAGCACCTATGCGTATCCCTTCAGTGCGCTGACTGTGCCGAGCGCTGCTGGGGCTCTGCCACCGCCGACGGTGCTGCCGCTGGCCCATCAGTCAGCACCGCCGAGCCATTTGAACGTCAAGGCAGCGGCGCATGCGCTGAGCGAAGCGAGCGCCGCAGCAGCAGCGGGCGTCAGCTTAGTCGTTGGAGGTGGCGGCAGCGCCAGCGGCGGCTGCTCAAATGCCGGCGTGAACCCCGCCTCTAGCGTCGGCGGCGGCGGTGGCAGCGGTGGTCCGCTGAACAGCAGCGTGTTGGCCGTCGCAGCGGCTGCCGCAGCAGCAGCAGCTGCTGCCAGCGAGCCAAAGCCTCTGCTCTCATCGAAGTACGAAGCGCTCAGCGACGAAGATTAGTTGTGACTGCAGGCGTCGTCGTCCGGCATGCGCAGTCTGACGGCAGCAGCGACGACGCCTCCAGCAGCCAATCAACACAGCGCAGCCAATGTCTACCAGCACCAGCAGCACCAACAACAGCAGCAGCAGCCGCATATCTGGAGCACCAGTGCTGCCTATCGACGTCATCAGCAGCCTCTGTCTCAGCCGCAGCCTCAGCAGCAACAACAGCAGCAGCCGCTGCATTCGCCGCGCAGTCACCATCAGGCGCACTATCAGCCGACAGCGCTGCTGCCACCACCACCGCTGCAGTCGACGTCGTCAGCGGCAGCACTGGCACAGCAGCAACAGCAGCAGCAACAGCGCGCGCATTACTACGCTGACCCGGCGGCAGCAGCAGCGGCGGCCGCTGCAGCTGCACATCACTATGTTAGCAATGCGGGCAGCGGCGCTAGCGCTGGTCACGGCTATTATTGAAAACCATGCAAGGAGATCGGCAACAGAAAAAACACAACAATAACAACCTATGTATGTACTATAAGCAGTTAAATAGAGAAAGCTGCTGAGCAAATATTATTCGAGAAACACAACCATTTCAGAGAAAGCAAAAATGCAGCATAAGAAGGCAAGAAAAAAGAAGAAATGTAACTAGCTGACACAGTTAAGCATCGCCTGTTTTGAAGAGAGCATCGCTAAATAAGAGAGAGCCGATCCGAACAGTTCGTCCAGTTATCCCTGTCTCTCTCTCTCTCTCTCTCTCTTCTAAGCACATGGTGCGAGCGCACAAATCGTAAAAGAGCTTTGAGTGAAAACTGCAAAGAGAGTTCGAGAAGCAACGCAACAGCATGCACACACACACACACCCCATATATATGTATGGAGGCGGTGCATTTGGAGCATAGAGCTGCCATGCAATTTCTCTTACTAAACCGATCGAGCGATAGACTGCCCACCCGCCTTTCTATTACTCCCACTCATTGATTGATTCGAAACACACAAACACACGCACACACACTTAATGGACACACGCACGCACGCACGCACCAAAAATAAAATAATTATTTAAATATTGCAAACTGTAGTTAGGCATGCAAAATCCTCAAATTATCGTATAGCACATGCTTGTATACGCAATGTGTATGTGTTAAGTATGTGAATGTATATATATATATATCTATATCTACATTTACATATATGTGTATATAAAAAGAACCAGCAACTGCTGCTGCACTCCCACTCTCACTCTCCATCTTTTTTTTCTTGATACGATGCGACGCTTCCTTGGGATCGATGTCAACTCGCGCTTTCGCTCTCACTCTCACTCACATCCTTGCACAGACTCGTCTCTGTCTCACACTGTTCCCGTGTTTTGTTGTGTGCCACGCTCTATCTCACTCTCTCTCTCTCCCTCTCTCTCACTCTTTGTTACCGTAATTCGATTTGACCTTTCAGTTATGTGCATTCGTTGTAATTTGTAGCCCAAACGTAAAGAAACCTCAGAACTTGAGTCGAAACCATAAGGAAATAAAATGTAGTGACATTTATATGAAAATATAAATAAAA